CTCGGCACGCAGTGAGGGCACGCGCGCGACTGCCCGCGCAGCCGGTTAAAGGCAGTAGGTCGGCAGAATGGGGGAACACGCGGAAGGCGACAAATGCCCTGGAACAGGCACGACTAGTGGCCACGCCCTGTCCGAGTTCTCGTCAACACTCGTCCTTCCAATCTTTGTACTGGAGCGCGTCTGCACGCTTTCTACATGTTTCGGTTCTTGTGTGATACATTTTTGTCTCTGTTCTTGTCTATCCTTTACGGTTCTATATTTTTCACCTTTTGTGTGAACATATCTGCTTATAGGGGTATGAGATGTATCATTGAATGCGGGAGTTCCTTCATGTAGTTGCACATATAAGCGAGCAAGAGGAGTCGTCACCTGACTCATCAGAGGTATGACCTTTCTTGTGTTCTGTGCTCTACTTTTCCATTTCATCATTTCCCTATTTAGATATCACCTTACGAATGTCCTCCCCCTATTAGCTAGCGTTTTCCTTATCATCAAAATGTTTGCGCGACTTAATCATTCCATTTTAGTTGAGATATTCGAGGAAGATCGCTTTCAACTTCGTGCGCCATTGCTATGGAATTATGAGGTAAGAGCTCTCACTCATTCGTTCTGCTTGAACTTCGCCGATCGTTTTTTTTTTGAAGGATGGATCTCACGCCTAAGTGCAATCGAACAGAGGAGAGCTCAAGGGCCATTGACGTGAGCATTGTGTAAACTCTGCTACTTACACTCGAGTTATCAAAACCAAATTCTACTTAAGTTTAACTTTTGTGTATTCATATGTTTTTTTATTTTAGCTATCCTAACGGTCCTAGGTTCTTGCCTTTTCTTGAAGAAATGGTTAGACTTAACATGACTTCATTGACTTGTAAGCAGTATTTCTGTATACATAATGGTCTCTGATACCGTTGTCGATAATGACTATGTGGAACAAATAGACTTACAAAAGTACTTTGGAAACTTTGTACAGGGATTTCTTGCTTTTGAGGTGAAGTTGTACTCTACATTGCTGAGTGATATTATCATTTTCTCTTTTTGTCCTATATCTGGTGCGATTTTGTTGCGAATAAAGTTGTTTTTCTTTCTGCCCTGTCAAACGAAGAATAGTGAGCAGAAAAAATAAGATGAACTTAAGTATTGACAAAGGCTAAATTCTGAAAGATATCGCGGCTATATTGAGTTCGAGGTCCGGCTGGATACAAATTGAATTTGACATTTTGCCTGAAAATGAGGATTCTTCTTACTTTGAGACTCGAAAGAAAACTGCTTTGCAGCATTTATTGTGTTTGATTCATCTCTATCCGAATGATAGCTACATAACTGCATAGAACTGATGCAATTCCGTTATTCTTATTCAATGCAGAAGCTAATCGAAATGTCATCGGCTTCCAGATTCGTAGAGGTGTGGAGGCGGAGTCTTGCCATCTCACAGCAGGGCGGTTTTTGCTAGCGAGAGAGTACGAAAAGCAATGCTATAACATGGAGGTTCAACAAGTTTATCCTTGTTACCAAACAAAGTCTGCAACACACCTCCACACGAACCTGGCAACTGATCATATGCGTGAGTTAGATGATGACCGAAATCGAATTTCGCTGCCAAATCTCACACTCAATCAGTTAGCTATCAGCAAACAATCTACGAGTCTACAACTTGCGCTACGTAACTTTCCTTATACACTGAGTGATCACATCTACCAATTTTACACAACGAACTCTTATGGACAAAACAGATTAGTCGAAGAGGGCACGACCACCATTCAGGTGCCAGCCTATGCGCCACAAGAGCGTCAATCTGACTAATTGACTCGAGGCCAGCACTAAACAGCAGGCAAATGGGAGGCGTGGCCATCGTTCCCTCTCCTCCGCTGGGTTTTGTCGCCTTCCGCACCACACCCGGCAGAATGAGACCCGTGGCAAAACAAGGTCACAGGGTAGGAGCCTCCATAATGAAACCTATGGGCCAAAGTTCGACCTTTCTCTGCCACTTCTAACCCCCAAAAATTCAACGCGAAAGCAGCGCTCATCTCCTCTCCTCTCCGAACCCGCCTACCCCACGGACAGTGAACGCGAAGCCTGCCATGGCGAAGACGCAGAGTCGTTGCGGGACCCTTATGCTTATAGCATTGTTTATGCGCGGCCTGACCGTAGAAGTCGCTCGTCCATGGGTGGGCGGGATCGGAGAGGAGAGGAGATGAGCGCTGCTTTCGCGTTGAATTTTTTGGGGTTAGAAGTGGCAGAGAAAGATCGAACTTCGGCCCATAGGTTTCATTATGCGGGCTCCTACCCTGTGACCTTGTTCTGCCACGGGTCTCATTCTGCCGACCTACTGCCTTTAAGTAGATTTAGATGGCGCCCTGATCCTATTTCGGGCAAGACATTAACACTCAGAAAAAAAAATAACATATTGTGATAAGTTTTCAGTAGCTGCATTGAACGTTTTCTCAACCGCCCTAGCTGAAAAGGTAGCCCTTTCCAACAGCAGTAAAGCTACTAACACAGACTACGAAGTGAAAACCACTCAAATATCGCAACACTTCTCGAACATCAATGCTAGCAGCGAGCAAGCCCTTGGTCCTGGCACGCAGTGATGGCGCTCACGCAACTGCCCGCGCAGCCGGTTAAGTACAGTAAGTTTCGACCCGCTTTAGGCGGAAATTGGATTGGCGGGAGTCCGCCTCGCAAGCTCGCGCCGTTTCGCAGCTACAGTATATCCTATCGTGCTGATAACCCATGTCTGCGTCTCTTCAATCTCCTTAGTCTTTTGCTTGGCAAAATGCCAGCGCTATGCGCTCGCAAAGGTAGGTGCCAGAGTAAGCGAATATTTTGTTCAGGTTGGGGTCCCGCGCAGAATGTAGGTTACTCACCATGCTGGCGTCGATCCAAGTGACGTAAATTCTGCGCGGGACCCCAACCTGAACAAAATATTCGCTTACTCTGGCACCTACGAAAGCTTCCAGCGATGCGCATGCGCTGCTCTACGTACAATATCTCGCCTAATCCGGGATGAAACCGACTGTAGATTTAGATGGCGCCGATGACCTGTTGCGTTCTACAATACAGTCGATTTGCATGGCGTTTCTCAGGAATTTTGCCACAACACTTCAGCATTCCCGTTTCTCCATTTTCGTAATGACAATCACATTAGCCACGCAGAACATTCGCAAACACATCGTCAACAACCCGAGCGAATGAGCAAGGGCGTAGTTCAGCGCGCGATCGATAAATCGAGAGTGTCGCGCGATCAGCCGATAACGGCACGTTTCATTCGCATATGCGGATTAGCCAAATTCGGTCCTGCTTTCTCATGATCTGTATGTGAAAGTCCACTCCTGTAGAATCAAAAGACATGAAGCAATTCTCGGAGAAGTTAAAATCCGACGACCCGCCCGCCGCCGCTCCAGCCCGTGCCTCGCTCGCGCCGCTCACGTGGACTACTTCACCCTCATCCGCTGAAAGCTTTCTTGAAGTGACAGCTCCTATCTGTCTTTTGACTAGTCAGCTTGCAATTCGTTTGAGATCATTGTCAGAAAGCAGCTTTCGTTGTTGTACACATTTACTTTATCTTGTTCATTGCAGAATACAAAAAAGCAGTCCTTTCTTCTTTTCACTATTATGCCTATAGTTCCCTTATTTGATTTTCTCGGGAGTTTCCAAATATAGCTGCATAACTAGTATTCACGGCACATTGTCGATCCAGCAAAGATTTCGCAATAGCTTACTCAGGTTGTTTGTCCTCTTTTCCTCATAAATGGCTTTCTGTTCCGGCTGTATTTCTCTTTTTGTGGGAGCTGGGAGGAATTTTGGTGGCAAAAAAGATTAACAAAGACTTCATGGTTTCAGTGATCCGTGAAGTCTTTGTTAGTCTTTTTTCCATACGGGGTGCTTCCTCTTTTCTCTTTTAATTTCCTGTTTAGACTTCATTGTTATCACCCATAGTCTCCAACGTTTCTGCAGTCTCTGCAGAAAAGTTCAATTTCTTGAACTTTTGGAACTACTTTTTTATCGCATTTTCAGTGCAGTGTAATGGGGCAAAGCGCATTCTTACACTGCACTTCAAACTATTTGCAAGTATTTATTTGAGATGTTTTGCTCGCAGAAGAGTGGTTTCGGTTTACCTACATGTTTGTGATCAATGATCATGATTAATAATGTAGTGGTGAGCACTTGTGTGGGGCAATCTTGTTCCGATAATGTTCCCTTCTTTCTCATAGCCGGATTTCGAATTTGATTTAGGGAAGTGTCAGGGAGTCTTGGTAACTGTATGAATCTGTTGACATGTCATCTATAATTATCGAAGTTTTGCGAGTCCTACTGATGTCCCACAGAAAAATCATTGATAAAGGTGATAAGACCGATCGTACCAGTTCAAACTCATGGGGTTGCGATCAGGAAACAAAAACTCTCTTGCCTAGCATGATTTTTGAGACCTCACGTCTCCGCAGACACTTGCAAGAGTCCACAATGCAGAAATCCTTGCATCACATGACTCATTCATACACTGGTTAGAACACTTGAAGATCAAAACCAGTTTCTCCTACTGCCGAGCACCTACTGCACGTCATAATTTGGGAATTCGCTCTACTCGGATTGTATTCGCGACAGCGCAAATCCTTGCATATGATATACATTTCAACTTCCGTTCAAATCACGATGTTATTGCCTGTCAATAGCCTAATCATTTGAAATCGCAGTGGTCACATTGGATTGAACGCATCAATTATGGTGGATTATGTGCCGGCATTGATGTATTGAGTGCCTGAACACGTGTGGTGGATGAAGTGCCTTAGTTGGTTTTTGTCGTGTATCGTTTGTTTACTTGTTTATGGATTCTGCAGCTTCATTTCAGTTTTATTGATAGTGAATACTATCATCTTACAACCAGGTCTTGTACTGGTCGCATAGAAAAGCGATCCATTCGAGGGGTAAAGGCAGTCATATGAGGTCAACAGTATTGATAAGATGGCTTGCCATCAAAGAAACACCGACAACAATTTAGTTTTATGCTTCAAAACATTGACAATTATTTGCGAAAAAATCGTTCGAGATTTGGTTTGCCAGTGTGCACTCAGCCTTTTTGTCGTCTGTTCGTCAGCGCATTTCGTAGCCGAGGCAAAGTGATTTTCTTATTGTTCTCGATTTTGGAAATATTTTTTTCAGGAATGGAACGCGATATAAACGAAGCTCTTAGCCATGTCTTGCATGACAGCGGCTTCGATCTGGATGGAGAAAGGATTGTCGAGGATAGTACCACTGTGCAGGTGTGCAGTTAGAATTTTTCTTTTTGTGATATAAGTCAGTATCAAGAATATTGGTTTTGTGAAGAATAAAAGTAGATCTCTAAGAAATAAATTTCTATTTCTGCTTATGATTCTTTTCGGATGGTTTAGGTGAAAAACCCGTCAGCCCGAAGAACTGGCGAAGAGATGGAGGTATTGTATACTCGGACAACACAAGTTCTATCTCAGCCGAACTCTGATGATGAGGACTTTGGTGAGTAAATCAAACTTTGCGCTCTTAATTTTCTTTCTGCATGATAGCAGACGTGGTTTTGCTTCCATGTATCTTGCTATTATTGAAGCGTAGCTTGGTTTCTGAAGTGTTGTTGACAGCTGGCTTACGGTGATGGGTGTATATCTTACGTCATTTGACATGCAAAACAAGTTATCGTAAATAACTTAATCATTTGCACTCCCACCTTATGCGGAAGTGGGAACGTATGATCAATCCTACTTCCGACTGAGAGAAATGTGACCCGATAACTGCATGATTAGAACTTGACGATTAACACTCGTACTCTAAATCGGCATATTAGAAACTGCCATTCAAAATGCATGGCAGATGAATGGCATGCCTAAATTCCTAGCTCACTCATAGCTCAATGGTCGCGTTTTTTTCCATAGAAAGGTCTGGGCTTGTTGGCAGTGATGTAAAAGCGATTTTCTGCGCAAAATTTGATGTGCCATGACATGTAACCAGTCTGTAATCACGTTTGCGGTAAATGTTTTATCTCATCTTCATTTTTATTTCAAAATCGTAATCAACACACGAGCTTTTTTCGTCACTGATTACTCTGCTTGCTGAAATTCACCAATAAAGATTATGTAATCCGCCTCTAAGCACGTTCTTTGCTTAATCAGTTCTCGCTGTGTCATGTGCGAATTGTTCCGGGGCAGATTACATCGTGATCATTGATGCCTTTACGACGAAATCGTAGACTCTTTTAAAACACTGCATGTTGTGGGTTGACATTTGTAGTAATTATGAGGCCATCACCATTCTCCAATCCGTCGACTACTTGTCTCAGAAAAGTGAGTCATAGTTTTGGGGCTGATTGGCATACTGTGCAAAGTTCATTCTGCGCGCACATGTCGAAGAAAAGGAGGAAAAATTTATGCAGTTGTTTGCATCATTCCATCGATACATTTTCTTTGTCAGTGTCTCAGTATCGTATGTCTCTACACTTGGGTAATTCTAAAAGCGGACTTGATACCTTTCTCTGTAGCTGTCTGAGCTGTGAGCGTTTCTACAGAGTTATTAGGGCTGAAGTTTAAGTTCTGGATCTAGCGAATACGCGACAGTCTTGCTCAAAATTGAACTGCTCTTGAATACGTTACATTTAGCGCCATCCTCAATCGCTACTAGAACTGATGTGTTCATGCTGTTTTAATTCTGTAAACAGTGTGTTATTTTTACAGGTACTCGTTCCGATTCGGAACTTACTGGCCGTACCCGGACCCGCTCTTTGCATTACGGTAGTGACGATGAAGGACGTAGACACACAGTCTTGAAGTATAGAAGGCGTAGAGGAGGTCAGTGGAGACCGGTGCATAAAGGTGATATCACAGCAAGAAAAGGAGACGAGGATGAGCTAGAGGTCAGTTATATATCCACGAACTTCTTCGCTATTTTCTCCATGAAAAGACCTTGTGCAGTTCATGTCCGCTTTGTGAGTTATCGCATGATAATCCTGGATGTATCGTGCTATATCTCAAAGGGAACCGGCCATACTATTCCAGGAGGTGATTCCTGCGACTCCTGTAATTCTTCCTGCAATTCTTTTGATTCCTCGACTTCCGATGTGCCGCATTACGGAGCGCTTTGCGAATTTCAGCATACATTGTTTTCCCGCAATATACAGTGTTACGGGACCCGCAGCAACCACAGGAATCGCAGGAATTGTAGGAATCACAGGAATAGTATGGCCGGTCTCAAAGAGTTTTCATCTCTCTTTTTGTCAGCGATATCTTGCTTATCAATAGCATCGCAGAATCACAGTGGGATCGGCGATATCGACGCATTGAAATCCAGCAATTGTTTCTAGAACTTTTAAACGAGTATATCGTATTTTTTCAAGGTTGACGTCACTGAGGAATGCTCTGAAACAACTGGCATCGTCACCAAGGTAAGTGTCAAATGGAATGATTTGCCTCAAACAAGCACACACTATACTTGATCACTACACCACTTAATTAGAGATGCACTGATTTGACCAATCCAAAGCGTAGTGGGTGTAGTGAGTCAAGCATGGCGTGTGCTATAACTCTGTGGTAAATTGACTCATTCTAGACATATGAAGCGCGCTGGAAAGTTTTGAAATACGAAAATTTACCTGACTGGCTTCAGGACAACGAATTCTTACGGTTTGTTTTTCTTCGGGCCGTGTTCTTGTTTGTTAACAAGGCTACGTTGCAGTCATGGCCATCGACCACCGCTTCCTTCCGTTGCCGAATGTTTCAAGAGTATCTGGTCACTACATACTGAGACGGGCAACATTTGGACCCACCTTATCGGCAAGTCTTGGTTTGCTTCAAATGAAGGGCATAAATTCTTTCTCTATTCTTCAGGCTGCATAGCCTTTCTTTGCCTGGGAATCTGGTTTCTCACTCGCCCAACTAATCACATCCAGTGGCAGGAGAAGATTGTATTCTCATTTTTCTTCGGAGGTGCGGTACTCTGCTTAGGACTATCTTTTGTGTTCCACACATTGTGTTGCCATTCCATAAATGTCGGTCGACTTTTCTGCAAGTGAGTTTCTCTCAGAAGTTTTTTCTCTAAGTGGATGACGATTTGTAACTCGTCCCTCTTTTTTATCGATCATGATGTTGTAATTTATCATGATCATTAGTTATTAATACATTTATTTGTCATCTCGCGACTTATTAACATCATCACTTCAGGCTTGACTACATGGGCATTTCTCTATTGATTATTGGTTCCTTTATACCATGGATTTATTATGGTTTCTATTGTCGTATGGAACCTAAGATTACTTATATAGCCATGGTTTCTGTTTTAGGAGTAGGTCAGGACCAAATTTCTTGTCTTTACGTTCTTCTTTTATTGCATTAATGAGTATTATCGCTATTGATCAGGTGCTATTGTTGTTTCGCTATGGGACAAGTTCAGCGAATCTCGTTTTCGGCCTCTGAGGGCAGGCGTATTTGTTTCAATGGGATGCAGTGGTGAGAGTCTATTTATCATTAAGTTGATTTACTTGAAATGTAGCAATTTACAGGCATAGTACCTACAGTGCATTACATCATAACTGATGGAGTGCGCTCTTTGTTTGAGGATAACGCTTTCCATTGGTTGCTTCTCATGGCATTCTTGTACCTGCTGGGAGCGCTTCTTTATGCTACAAGAACTCCCGAACGATTCTTCCCCGGAAAATGTGACATCTGGGTTAGTATATTTCAGCTTTTTACCATCTTTTTCTTTTTTGTTATACGGTGCACATCAAGTCCACTTAATGTATTTGGACAACAAAGGATTTATATACGCTGAGCTTTGGTTGACTGGTGTTAACATAGGGTTTATGTGTATGATTATTCAGTTTTATCGTCGTTGTAAACACACTGAATTTGCGTAATGTAGAATGTTATAGAGAACTATTACATGGGAATTAATATTGACAAAGCACAGAAGGGTTAATGGTGAGGCAAATATGAATAAATTAGAGTTTGTCAGTGTCGATTCTGAGTCACCATTATTATAATACACTTGGGGCTTTTCCTTCCGTTTAGTTACATAAGATTTTCTTAGTTTCTCGAACGAAATCTAGGTGTATAAAATGGTGAAGATGTAAATTTGAGAATAATCTCTTCTAATTCTTATATGCGTCGCACTCAACATATAGTTTTTTCCAGCATCAGAATTTTTTGAATTAATACATCAAATCAACATCATATGTAGGGCCCATTGCTCTCGAATGGCATACGTGAAATGTTACAAAACCTGCTTTGGCCATATGCGTACACATAAATGTGACAAAAACACGCTACTTGTGGAAAATTTGTGACATAGCAGCTTCGCACGCGAATATCCTTGATAGCTTTTTACCGTTTAGCAATAAATTCCGGTTTGGTATCTTATTACCAGTTTAGTATTTGCTCCAGCTGTTCTGTTACCCTCACTTTTTTGAATACTTATCTGTCTTTACCTGATTGACGCTTTTGCAACAAGAAACAAGTATTTTTATGATGATGATTGCCTTGATTGACTTTTTTTTCGTATCTAGCTTTAACGTATGGAATGAACAACTTTTTTACAGTTTCAATCACATCAACTGTTTCACACTTGCGTGGTGATTGCTGCCTTTGTTCATTACTATGGCATTTCGGAGATGGCATGGATGCGGTTGAACGAGCACTGCCACGCGAAGACGCCTTTCTCGCTACATACGGAGTTGTAGACGTAGATTAGGCAATAGATACTGATCATGCAGATTTGAGTCGTGAACCTGAACTGACCTCAACTAGTCGTTTGACCTCATTTTCCGGAACAGTGTTGTTCCATCCTCTCAGTATATTTTCGGATCTTCCGAAAGGCCAATCTTTGTCAGAAATGCGAACCCATTTCATATGTATCTCTATTGATTCCAAAAAGTCTTGGAAGCTAGTACATTGAGTTTGGACTTAGCTTCTTATTCCTCCTTTCAATCACTTGATGTCCACTGGCACTCACTTGATTTTATCCCACCTCTTTTTGATCATAATTTCGGTTGTGCTGTGACCTTGCTATTTCTTCTCTTTACATAGGTGATCTACATCTGCCTTCATAATGGAGTGCTTCCATATATTTGTGCTATTGATGTAAGGGAATGAAGCTAATAATTTTATCTTGCAATTGATATACTTGTCGTGTACCAGATTCATGCTCACTGGCTGCGGAGCAGTCATGCTTACGCTAGTTCGTTTCTGTCAGCCGCTTGCTTTCTAGTTGGAACGAATTAAGAGCGAACAGCAAAATATATCATTACAAGTTTGAGAAGGATCACTTTATACCTTCTTTTTATAGTTCGTCTGAGGTTATGGGGACCCCAACACAGTTCCCCATCTTTGTCCTCGCGTCATCAAGAGTGATCTAATGGTTGTCGCTGCTGATATTTGTGAGTACGAATGTATATGGATAACGTTGGTCCATCCGTTCACCGAGCACGTCTGCCTGCCTCTTGCTATTCCTCAAAAATGTTCGTTTTGCAAAGTCTGCGCACTAATGTCCGTGGGGTCCGAGTATCATGTGTTAGTTTTTGAAGTGGGATTTTCAACCGCTTCATGAGTGTCCAAGAAGTTCTGCGAGTTACGATATTAGTGCAAGTCTGCACAGATCGGTGAGAGAACTTGGTCGAGCAGGTGGGCTTAATATTTCGGGTCAGTCAGCTTTTTAATGGTTATCATTGTTCATCCAAATTTGAGGTTGTTGAGATTCTGATGAGATCCAACAGGGGTATTGATTGTATTCACCCCGGTCCCGCTGAAAAGGTGAATTCGAGGCGAGAAAACCATTCTAGAAAACAGATACAACAGAGGCAGCAAAATCGTTCAATGTGGATGGTCCAAAGGCTCTGAACCCGAATTTGAGCCTGTATTAAGAAGTGCTGTCATATGATTTTCGACATTTTCAACCTCAGACCAACCACCGTGTGGACGTTGCTGCCTAGGCAATCACTTACTACTTAGCCTAGTTTCGGAAATACCGTTGAACCACCCACGTTGATAGGTCCACGCATCTGTGGCAGCTACTTTCTTTCCTTCCGTCATGAAAATGAGATTTTAGGCTTTCTTGGCACTCTGAAGATTTCAGACTCAGTATCTCCACACCAGCCACTTTTGGGCGTGCAGCTTAGGCAGTCGGTCAATGCTTAGATGTATGGTGCTATCACAAGGAATGAATGCGATATTCGTAATCAGCCTGTCGAATAACCCCTGTGCAAATTTTCAGTGGAATCTGAGGATTTGGTCCCACACCGTATGCCCACCGTAATCATTCGCAGAAGGCCCTACCATGCTATGATTTCGTAGTCAGCAGATCGCATAACCTCCCCCCCCCCCCTCTCCTCCCCCAGGCGGACTCTTTGATCGTGATTTTGTATTTTTATTGCGCCCAGATTGAGGGTGGTGGGTTTTGAGTGCGGTACAAAAGCGCGGCCCCTAATTAAGTAATCGCCCAAGTCCCGCTCCAAAATATGAAGTCTGAAATAAGAAATCTTTTTCAGAAGTTAGAAGCGGAAATCGTGGACCTCCACCCTTTCAACATGGATGGTCTGAAGATGGAAAGCCCGAAATTGGGCTGCAGTTCATCCAGACTTGGCGAGAATACGCTCTTCATTTGGATTATAAATTTTTTGCCACTTTTGTGTGATACCATGGATCCACTAAATTCCAATTTTAGGTTTGCTTTCTCCCGACCACCCACTTTTATGGGCGAAACCATCATCTCAGCTCTTACTTTCTAAAGCGATTTCTCGCTTCTGATTTTACTTTTTGCAGCGGACTTAGGCGACTACTTGGGGCTCCGCTATTGTACCGTACTAAAATGTCACCCGGAGTTTTAAGTGAACGGTTCTTCCTACTTAACTTCAGCCTCAGGATGGTGATTTGCCTCAAGTCTGTAGCATTCATCATCTGTTTATGCCGTATGTTGAATTATGCGCATAAGGTTATTATGCGCATAACGTAGCTTTTTAAGAACTGTTAGAAAAGTCGATTGGCATTCATTTATGATTGGCAGTATGCATGTTGATCCTGAATAAATCAATCACTTCTCAAGGGAAACGCGCTGTCATTTTTGTATTATATATGCGTCTTTAATGACAGCAGATGCAGGGCAAGAGATCAATCACAGTATGCGAGTATCTTATAAGCTTAATTTCGGCTCAAGTCATGCTATTTGTGTAGAGCATTCATAGGATTTAGTGCTTCCAGTTAGATGAAGCTGATAGCTCACTGAGAAATCTGTGACCACAAAATACGACCTGTGTAGTTAGTGCATCTCTAAATTCAAGCATTTCATCCATTTAGATAAATATCGCCATCATACAAGTACCGGTTCTCCAATGTTTGCGTAAAGTTATGAGAAAATTTATCTTGCTGAAGTTTATTACCCACAGCGTTCGAGGAAAAAGAAATCGGTACTAGGTTGTTTCAATTTCTGTCCGATTTGCAGATTTTAGTTAAAGTGTCATAACTTCTTCTAAATAAAAATTTTTGAACAGTTTGTGATCTGCTGGATTGAGCGAGTTTTTGCCTATAAAAAAGACGTTTCATATGTTAAAAGACACATAAGTTAGAAGCAAAAGTTCCAGCAATGCTACAGAGTTCCCTCTAGAATTATCTACAATATTTTGACAAAGTAATGCTCCCATGAAAGGTTAGGTTAGGCCGACATATTTGCTTCGTTTCTTTGAGCAGCATGTATTACAGAAATTGTGTTGTGACCAAAAAGAATCCAAATAATCTTTGCTGATTAGATGTTTCAAACGAATGAAAAAACCTCAATTTTGGCCCTCTTCTGCGCGTGCAAGTACGGCTACTTTCTGATTTTAGATTTTTTACCTGTCGCCCACAAAAAAAAGCTAATTGGCTGATTGCCCATGCTCACCTTTAGTTTACTCTGACGTTTGCACGTACATCGAGTGATTTCGCTTATGGAATAGCTGAGGGAACATCTAATCTCAAATCGATTTTGGAGACTACTAGAATTTCTAGAAAATAAAAATAAATAAATTTATTTCCAATGCAGAGATTTCCTTCCCAGATTAAATGTCGGGAGCACGACCATATTTTGGCAACTTTGGAGTTTTGGGGCTTGAATTTCCATACTCAAATAAGATTTCATCAGAATTTAGTAAGCGTTCAAAAGAGCATGAAATACGTTTTTCGAATGGTGTTTACAATATTGCTACAGGTGCGAAACCCCGCAAACCACTGCATTGAGCACAAGGCAACGAAAATCGGACAGAACATTTAAAACAGCCCAGTATTCTATTTCCTTATTAAGAGCAGCGTCCACCCAGAATCTCGTATTTCATGTTTTGTCATGCTCTGGCCTTTCTGTAGCCCTTACAGATACGAAGTACCCCCAAAAAACCCGATTTCTGTTAGCCATATCTAAAGGCACAGACGGTATTACGGTGGGCGGAGCTTGATAAGGGGGGGGGGGGGGCGGCTTGATAGCACTATTGTTGTTTTGCAGGTACATTATCTTCATTCAGAAACTATACTGGGGAACCGGAACAACGCATATGTCCCTCTTCTGGGGCCTACATTTAGGCGAGATACTAACCGAAGGGCTTAACTTTGCCTGGGCGCTGCCTTTAACTAAGGGCCACGCGAGAAATGTTCGATTGGAGTGCAGGCTAAACCTTTCCGATTCTGAATTGGATTAGTCGTGCTTTTCCCAGCGGCTTTCGTTTTGCTCATTTTCGTTGCTCCACCGCAAGCCATTCATCAGAATTGCCCTAATAAAGCTCGTGAGCGCTTTTCCGTCTCCTCAGCGCCGAGCGTTCGATGGAGCGCATTCTCACGAAGGTGTCCCATGCCTGGAGATCTATTACTTCCTTGCAGCAGCGCTTCCGAATAGTCTAATCTCCAATGCATTCTTGCTCGATGCTCGGAAGCCGACTTTCCATTTCTGGAGATTTCACTTTGGTTTTGTCAATTTCAATTTTTTTCTTCGCCAAAAAATCATAGATGGTCCCTATCTAGATTACTTTCCCTGTCTGCGAAAATATCTAGCTGCGCCATGGGAATTGTTCCGCAATTTCTTCTCAACTTTTCCTTGCTTGGCAATTTCTGCACAAATAGAATTATTTTTTTTTGGCTTCACAAGGAAAATCGTGTGGAAGTTTATCTAACCAAATGTTGTAGTATTACATTTCACTTGTCTGGAAACTGCGTTCATAACTTTGTTTGACCATTTTATCATCAATAACATTGGCGAAGTTGTATAATAAATGAGTGAAATTCATCTTCTATCTCCTCTTAGAAAAAGAGTTTACGTTTCATAGAAAAACATCGCTCTATCACCTCTATCATAAAATGCAATTTCTGGATTCGTTTTCATGTTCTGGGACTTTCCTTGAGAAACAATGCTTAATCATATCTTTCTTTTTTGCACACATGTAGGCTTGGAAAACCACGACATTTCACAAAAGCAGCAAAGGAAAGACTTATTGAACTATTTCTTACGCTGCAAATGTGAACCTTCCCCCAATGGTTGTTAAATTTCTTGGGCTCAAAAATATTAAATGAAAAAGTTATCGGCAGAAGAACAACAAAGCGTCAGTGCCGCCAAGTTTTTTTAGAGGGCAATGGGAGAGGCGGGGACACCTCAGAAAATTTTTGGAATGCTTTAGAAAAGTATCATGGGATATCACTCCAAAATTTCAAAAAAGGGCGTGGCGGCAGTGACGTCCCCACAAAAATTCTTTTTCATCTCCCACAGCAGTTTACCATGTTTTTTTTTAAACTTCAGAAGTCATTCAGTTTGTTCACAAGTAAAAGAGGTCCTGAACATTATAAAACTCACATAGGCCACTTTGAAAAATTTCATCCCCCCTTCCACTCTCTCGGTCCTCCACAAACATAGATACTATTACAAGTTCGATACATTGTTGAAAAGGCTCTTCGCATCTCCAGTTGCATAGCAAGAATGAAAAACAGTCAGTTTTCATCAATCACGCTCATCTGGTCAGAAGCTTCGAGGAAAATGTTTTTCTTAGCTTGTTTGTTCTTCGACATTGAAGTTGGTATGCATTATGACCAAGAAGAAACTTAAACTGAACTACTAGCTCGACATCACCAAAACATTTTTGAGCTCGG